TCTACCTGCAATTCGCGCTCTGAACCATTCTGTGTCACTGCAGAAAAGAATACAAACCCGGGACCGGGAATATTGGGCGCAAGCCTCAAAACCGAACACTACTTCAAGACTTCAAGACATATGTCGCTCCATACGAGTTCCCTGCACAATTTGCACATGCGTCTACAGCGACTGATTGTGCAATGTTCAAATAACACAGGAGGCATGAAAGTTCAACTGGCCAAACTGGAAGCTGAAAGAGAACCTATCTATTTGAAACGCTGTGTCATTCCCTATGACCAGCGTGAAGGTGTGTTGAAAGCTCTGAAGAAAATGGAGCATGACGGCATCCTCACTCGTGTAACATCCAGCGCGTGGGCAACACCAATTGTGATCGCAACTGAAAGTGGTGATAAGACACCAAGATTTTGTGGTGACTACAGACTCACACTCAAGCCCCGGCTGCGAAAGTGTGCGACCACTACTATGGAACCAGAAGACTTTATGAAAGCTTCACATGGCAGCACATGTTTTTCGAAGATTGACTTGGCTGACGCCTACCTCCAGATCCCGCTTGATCCCGCATGCCGCCAATTCACCACGATCAATACATCATGGGGATTATACCAATGCAACTTCTTTCCATTTGTTCTCCACACATCATCCGGCATATTCCAGGTGGCCACAGACGAAGTTATTCATGGACTTGATGGCGTCCTAGCGTACCAGGATGATATCATTATTTTTGGTGCAACGAAAGCCGAACATGACGAACGCCTCACTAATCTCCTGGAACGTTTCGCCTAGAAGAACGTGTCAATTTGTTCTCCCAAGTGCATGTTCAGTTCCCCAGAATTGGAGTTCTTGGGCTTCACAGTTGATGGAAAAGGCTACCGCCCTGATCCAAGTCGCTTTCGTCTACTGACTGAATTGGAGTCACCAAGAGACCAAAACCAACTCAGATCCATCATGGGGTGCCTCCAATACCATTCGCGTTTCAACCCTAACTTCGCCACAAAAGCCCAACCGCTGTTTGCTGCCCAGTCAAGTGCAGACTGGAAATGGACGGCCGAATTTAAACGAATTCTGCGTGAAACCATACAGATGATAACAAACCGACCGGTACTCGCCTCGTTCTCTCCGACGAAACGTCCAACTCTGATCATCGACACATCAGACGTGGGCATTGGTGCTGTACTCGAACAAGATGGATGTTCAATTATCTGCATTTCTCGTCTACTGAATGCAGCAGAGCGAGGATATTCGCAAACGCAGAAAGAAGCGTTGTCTGTCTACTGGGCAGTCAGGCGCCCGCACAAACACCTTGTGGGTCTGCGCTTCACGATATTTAATGACCAACAAGCCCTACAATACATATTCAGCCGGCAGAAGTCTATTTATAAACCGACGGCGGTGATGATCCAACGATGGAGCATAGCATTAGCTGCATATGACTACGATATCGTGCACCTGCCGGGCAAAACAATCCCTCAAGCAGACTTTCTCTCACGATGGTCCAAATTCGCGGCAGCTAAGAAATGCTATTTCATTGCTACTGCCTCCCNGATACACCAAACGATACTATATAGCAATCATCATCGCACTATCGAAAAGATGGCGTCCGGACGTAAAACGCAAGTTCGCGGCATTCTACGCACATCGGGAAGAAATCAACGTACAACCTGATGGAATACTCTGCCGTAACGATCAACTGATTATTCCACCTCCGCTGCGCAAGGCAGTGCTAGAAGATCTGCACAAAGGCCACTTGGGATGGAGAAGATGGTATTGTTGTCACGACAGATGTGTTGGTGGCCCGGTAAAGATGAAGACATCAGCCAAACTGCTAAGAACTGAGACGCGTGCCTACAAAAGCAGAAGTCAAAACCGAAAAATTGGGCACCATGGCCAAAGAGCTGTATTCCAGGGCAACGCGTGCATGCCGACTTTTGCGGACCATTTCTCAGTCAGTACCACGCACTGGTACTCATTAATTCCTACTCAAAGTGGCCGGAAGTATTCTTAACCAGCACACCAACCACGTCGTTCGTGATGAGAGTACTACGAAAGTGTTTCAGTCGAGAAGGTGTCCCACAAGTCTTTGTGACTGATAACGGATCGCAATTCTGTGCTGCGGAATTGAAGGCATGGCTGGACAGTATTGGCTGCCGACATCTACGCACAGCACCACGTCACCCCTGTTCGAACGGTGCAGCGGAAAACCTGGTGAAAACGGTGAAGAGTGCCATAGCTTCTGCGAATCCGAGGACAATTGTAGAATTGGAGACACTTCTAGATAACTTCCTACTACAATACCGAAATGCCGCACATGCTACTACCAAGGAGAGTCCGGCAAAACTGTTCAAGGCCAGAAGTCTTCGGTCCTCACTACGATGCCTGGATTCAAGTGACGTTGTATACTTCGGAGGAAACGACCTGAGACCATCGAAAGGAATCATTACCCGAAGGATTTGTCGAGCCATGATCGAGATCACAGACCCAAGAGACGCAACAGTTCACCGACGTCACATTGATCAAATCCACTTCAACGAGACTCCTACTCCGATTGAGGATCCGGCTGACTAAGCCCAAGAAAACCCAGCCTT